AAGAATTTAAGGAAAAAGTAGAAGGACTTATCTTGCAGAAATTAATATACACGGGAGAAATTTCATCCCCTTAAGTACAAACTCTTTTAAAAGTAGAGGTGGAACAGTGGGGAGAGAGGGTGGATGGTCAAGTAGGTTAAAAATGGAGAGATGAGATGGAGCACATAGTTCTAGAGGGTATAAATACAAAAAAAACAGCAATCTGGAGGCATTTTTGAAGACTGAAGATGTTATCAAAACAAGAAAAACATAGAAACCTTGTCCAATAAACCTCTCCGGCAAATGTGTGGACATGGTTGCTGACTGTTCAATCGTACTCTTCTCGACCCTTCGGCGTCAAGTTTTTTCAAGTTTCTTGCGACGGGAGGAGCAAATCGGCTATATAAAGTTGAACTGAACACTAAGGTACTTTTAAGTCTCACTAATTTTTACAAAATCAGAGACATGTTTTAAACACTGTTTTAAGTTCCAAAAAATTATTTTTATTGCAAGAATGAAATACTTTTCATACACCTGCACATGAACGACACCTCGACCACAATCACTCCTAGCCTCATCCCCAGGACATTCTTCTTAAAAAATGGCAGGGGCGGGAAAGCCCTGGGGACAATGTTGAATCCTGACTCCGTGTAGAAAGTTCTATTTTTCCCATTTATAATGCTCTTCAAACAATCATCAGAAAACTATCTTTTACAACACACGGATTAACTGGTATGTATAGTATTTTAAAGGTAAGAATTGATTAGGGCAAGATCGGCACGGCTGTCAAAAAAATAAAAATAACAAAAACTATCTTCAGAAAACATTGCAAGATGAAATGTTAAATAGAAAAATTAGAATATCTCTGTACGTTAAGAAATTTTTTGGCATGAAGAAGAAAAAAGAATGATACTTACGTGATGGAACAAAACTTTGACTTATTTCGCTGGCTATCTGGAAATTTACGACATGTGATCCCGGCCACAGAAGTTATTTTGTCAGTATGATCCAGAGTGTGATCGGGGTATTGACAAGACCTTAGGCTCGATTTCCGCCGTCTCCCCATCCGTTGGGGGCTCATTTTCCAGAACAGCGGCTTACAATTGAGCCTAACAAGACCTTGGTGCTCATAAAAACCTGCCAAGTAGGTGTCTGTGCCTTGGGCAGATTGTCATTTCAGTTCCGAATACCCACCAAGGCTCCAATACGTACTCTTGCTAAAATGAGTTCATTTTCATTGTCTTTGCTGCACTTGCTAAACTTAGACAAGTGACAGCTGGCTAAGTGCGACGTAATATCATCCATGCACTCTGACCAACACATTTTCCTCCACACCCCTACTGGGACCTCACTCTGTCTACAATCTCGCGGAAGAACTGCTTGATGAATAGCCGAAAAAGCCATTTTTCACAATTGATCTCTTCGGCGATTTCATTGACAAAACTATATTTGAAACTGGCACCTGTAGCATTATAATTCAATCAGATTGAAACCAAAACAAGATCATCGTTGGAATTCGGATGTTATACTCTAACAAAAACTAGAAAGATACTCCCTTTTGCTTTTATTCACTGACAAAAGAAACTATTTTTCCTGTTTCATTCTGCTGCCGATAAACACTTTAAAGATCTTTGAATGAAACTGAAATTTACTACTAATTTAAGATAGAAAAAGTGTGGGGCATTTTTTTGACCATAGTGCCATGTACGAAGATCTGCCTTCTCCTGATAAGCAAATATCATTATAAAGCTTTCGACGTTAATGCTATTTTTTAAGGCACGCAAAAAAGAGTGCCCAAAAATTTTCGTGTGCTGACAAGAGGACTTCCCTTGCAAGTGAACTATTATTTTTTATCATTATCAATAACTATCATTTAAAAAAAAAAGATGATAATATTATAGAATTGATCGACACAACGCTATTGTTTTCTAATCGACCACCCCTCTTAAGGAATGCGTGACAGGCCACAGTAATTGGATTATTTTAAGCCACGCAAACTTATATCATGATATATTATTCAGCTGCTTCTTCCTCGTTAAAAAAAAAAAACAGACCTTAAGGGGATTCTAAGTGATGGTTTGTTTTTTTTTCTATGGAAAGGAGAGTTATTTTTCCCCTAAGAAATGTGAAATGTAAGGATTATATTCAGCTGTATATTTCCTGTCAATTTGTTGAAACAACGCATCTAAAGCTAATTTGCATACGGAGAATGAAGTAACGTTCATCATCGACAAGAAAAAGACCCAAGGAAAAGCAATTTCTAAGTTTTCTCCACATGTTTTCAAACGTCCAACATTTAAAGGGTCTAATGACATTTAGTGATAACTAGAAACTTTAAAGCTGTGGAAATTAGTCGATCAGATGCGGACCCGTTACAATTCCAGCTTTGCTGTCAAAATGGCGAATTTTGGAACATTAACGGAACTTTGCACGGCACGCAAAGAAGAGTGCCCACAAATTTTATTGCATTAAGAAGTAGACTGGTCCTAGTACTTCTGATTTATCATAGACTTGAGTCTGGGTCAGGTGCCACTTTTGCGAAATTACCATTCAGCTCTAGTTATGCAAATTACTTTTCCTGCTGAGCAAATTACAGGTCATTTTAAAAAAATCATATCTCAGCCAACTTTCCACAGAATGCAACCATTAAACCTTGAAACTGTCAATCAGAGTTAAAACTTTTGTTTGTAAAATAATCAGCTTATTCGGCTATGTAAGGTAGGTTTGACAGAGCCCTAAAGTTTCACCAAAATCGCACCACTTCCGACTTCAAAGGGGCCAGTTTTAGGTGACCGAGAAAATCTTACTGTAAAATAGACAAAAAATTGAGGTTGTCCAAATAAATGTGATATTTCTTCATGGGATTGGATAGTTATCTTCCACTAAAAAAATCAGGGTAATCCGTGATAGATCGAAATTTGCCTTATCGGTTCTTGCACGGACAGCCTCTTAAGTGGTGATAATTGAAGCATCACCGATGGAGGTTGCTGTCTTGATTTCCACCATCGAATGATCAATTGATATAAAATTACTATTGTTGGTAGGATTAACAGACCTACAATCAAGGGATAAATACACGAAGTTACTTGACTTGAATGTGTGGTGAAATTTCTTGAGATGCTTGGTTTAGAGTTATGTGATGATACTCCCTCCGAAGGTGTCTTTGTTTTGTGGGTGGGTAGAATTCCTGAAGACCAATGAGTTAGTGACTTGCTGGTTGTATAATGACAAGCAGAAATGATCTTGATTGGTTTGAGCGGCTGAAATCGCACAATATCATGGCTTAATAGTGGATTATTTTCTCGCAAATCCAAAAGTACAACCCGTGGAAAATTTCAAATAAAGAGGTGAGGTGTTGAAGGTTGTTACCACGAAGTAAAATTGAAGTATAGTTCTCCAAGGTCAACTTCGAGTGTGGCATTGAATGAAGATCACTGTGTGGGCAGTCAATTAGCTTCAACGGTTCATAACAGCGACACCTCCCGTCTAAGCAGGCATTAGTATACCTTAATAATACGAGCTTAAGGAAAACAAGAGTGGACATATTGCTATCTTTCTGGAAATATACATTAGGCGAGAAATTCGAGATTTCCTTTGTCGTGAAATTATTAACTAAACTAGTATTTTATCAAAGATTTTCATTTAAATAAGAAAAGAAAACTGTTTAGTAATTTAGCAAACTGGAGCCAATATTTTCTCTCTAAGTCAGACAGCTCGTGTACCTGAGCCAACTGGTTTGCTGATCTAACTAAAAAATTTTGACCCACAGCCGGGAACAGGACAATGCTTGCATTTTAGTTTTTTCATGTTAACGGCACGAAATTTATCGTTTATTTTCGAGGGCACAACGGGCACCAAGGGCAGAAATTGAGTGGGTTTTTTTCCTCAGGAACATGCGAGAAGGTCGTGTGGGGGAGTTGTGTGTGGGAACGCACACTCGCGCCTTAAGTCAGAGAATTACAAGAAACGCGTTTTTTATAAAGTGTTTTATTTATGAATCACACACATTACAATTTTTCATACAGGAATCAATTTAGAACACAATTTTATATATCTAGAGGCATAGTGCAGGGCAAGAAACTTTCTTTTCAATTTACTTGTCCCTTGGGACAAGCACAATGTGTATTTTGCTTGTCCGAACCACAAAACTACTTGTCCAAAAATAGACAACCACAACAATACTAAAGGGTAATATATAAACTTCATATTTCATTTTAGCTCGTAGAATTAAAACTAACAGAACTCCACAAACTGAAAAAACATATCTTTTGATACATTTGTTTTAGTCATTGTGTTTACTTTTTGAATGGGCTGTTAAAGTTTCTCTTCTGAATCCTTGAACTCCATCTCCACATCCAATGTACATTGGGCTGCTTTTGTCAGCTAATTCAGCAGACTTTCTACAAGTTGAGCAGTACATTTNTCTCTAAGTCAGACAGCTCGTGTACCTGAGCCAACTGGTTTGCTGATCTAACTAAAAAATTTTGACCCACAGCCGGGAACAGGACAATGCTTGCATTTTAGTTTTTTCATGTTAACGGCACGAAATTTATCGTTTATTTTCGAGGGCACAACGGGCACCAAGGGCAGAAATTGAGTGGGTTTTTTTCCTCAGGAACATGCGAGAAGGTCGTGTGGGGGAGTTGTGTGTGGGAACGCACACTCGCGCCTTAAGTCAGAGAATTACAAGAAACGCGTTTTTTATAAAGTGTTTTATTTATGAATCACACACATTACAATTTTTCATACAGGAATCAATTTAGAACACAATTTTATATATCTAGAGGCATAGTGCAGGGCAAGAAACTTTCTTTTCAATTTACTTGTCCCTTGGGACAAGCACAATGTGTATTTTGCTTGTCCGAACCACAAAACTACTTGTCCAAAAATAGACAACCACAACAATACTAAAGGGTAATATATAAACTTCATATTTCATTTTAGCTCGTAGAATTAAAACTAACAGAACTCCACAAACTGAAAAAACATATCTTTTGATACATTTGTTTTAGTCATTGTGTTTATTCAGGCAGTTCGGGAAGTGGCGGTAGAATTTCTTCTTCCTCTTCCTCTCCTTCTACTACAATTTTTGTTGCTCCACTAGCACTGTCATTTTTCCCCTTTGCAATGCTTGAATGTCCACTGCAAGATGCCGAAACAAAGTGCCTTTTCCTTTTACTGCTGAGAAACCAGTTGCTGATGGATGGCTTTGGGTCAAAGGATTTGATATCTTCAGATGATGAACTGACAGTCATGAGATCCTGAAGAGTTCCTTGCTGCATAGTTGTCTTTAAACTGGTCTTAATTCTGTTCATTGCAGAAAATGACCTTTCGCAAGAGGCTGTGCATGGAGAAAGCACTGTCATAATCTCTACAAGAACCAGTACATTCTTGATAGAATCTGGCTTGGAGATGAGAAGTGAGGCATAGAGCTCAAGTGGTTTGACAGCTCTCTCACAAGATAACAAAAGTTTCAATTGAAGCCACTCACACAAAATATATTTCTTCTCTTCATCAGAAAGAAGTACTGCAAAGTGCTGGACGAGTGTCTTCACATTATCATCTCATAATGAAGTAGGTCTTCTCTAGTCATTGGCCAAAACCTGTGGTCAAACACTTTAAAACAGCTCACTGGTTCCGTTGTGAGCGACTCAAACCTTTTTTCAAGATAGGAGGATATGCCATTGAGGAGCTTCTGGAAGGAAGGCATAGGGTTGGTGCCTTTGTGTGTCAAAGTGAGCTCTTGTTTGTTATCTTTGCCACACACCAGCTTGCCATTTTGCTCACTGTATCTCTTACAGAATCCCTGGTAGTGTACTCCACCTTTCTCCAGTTTCTTTAATTCTGTAATGGATTTCTCAATTCCACAAACAACCTCATTGATGGTGATATCCTTCTGGAACTGAACTGACAACCTTGATAGGACTGATGTAACATCAATCATGAAATGTAAATACTTGACCAACTGCTCTGACTTCAGGACTTTGAGAATACCAGTTGCTTTAGCTGCATCTTCTTTCTTGCCAGTTGAGGCATTTTCTAGGTGTGCAACAGTAACAGCATAGTGTGTCTGTAGAGCAACAAGGGCCCTGTTTCGACTAGCCAACCATCTAACTGCCTTAAGACCACCATAATGTGCCTTTGCTTCATCTAAAATATCTGACAGAGAGGCTAACTCTCTTCGTTTCTTTGGAGTGTAATAATAATATTTAAAGACTGCCTGAACTGTTTCCTGAAATGTCTTTAAATATGGCACTTCTTTTACTTTGTCTAAGATGGCAAGTTCAAGGCAATGAGCAACACAGTGAATAGGCACAAGGTAATTGCCCACCCTTTCCTTCAGTTTTTGTGCCACACCAGATTTACTTCCTAACATAGCCGATGCACCATCAAAGTTGCAGCCGACCATCTTTTTTTTCTGATCTTCAACACTGACCCCGACTCGTTCTAGGCCCTTGTCAATTGCTGCTAGCACACCTAGAAAAACAGTTTAAGAATAAGGTCTTGGAAGGGGACAAGTACTGTTGTTACAAGGAAACAAAGAAAAAGTTGTCATCCTCTGGAAAGAGAAAAACTTTGAATTGATTGCAAAACACCCAATGCTTTAAGCTTTAGTATTCTGCTTTAACCACTAACCTTTTGCATCACCACTTGTAGTATCGACTAAGTCAGCAAACTGAGTCTTTGGTGCTCCCCCTGGTCCAATGTATCTCACAAAAACAGACTCTTGCTCGATGATCCCGGAATCTGTGCTCCCATCTGCCAGGACTGAAAAGAACCTTGCTCCTTGCAGCTCGTTCCTAATTTTGTTCCGTTCAGTATCTGCTATGGCAGAAACAAATGTTTTACAGACTTTAGGATTTCTGTAATTAGGTCCCAGGTGAACCTGATTTTTTGCCTGAAGGTCACAAAGACTTGCATATTTTTGAAAGGCAAGATTTTCCTTCGCGATATAGTGGGCGGTATTAAACAGTTTTTCAAGCCTTGCTTGTGATTCCTGGCTAATTCACGAGACAATTGTTTGCAATGGCCTATTTTCAGGTTTCTGGTCATTCAACAATCTTGTATGACAAACAACATGGCGGCGACTTTTTGAATGGGCTGTTAAAGTTTCTCTTCTGAATCCTTGAACTCCATCCACATCCAATGTACATTGGGCTGCTTTTGTCAGCTAATTCAGCATACTTTCTACAAGTTGAGCAGTACATTTTGTTTGTTTCTTCTTGATAAACAACCCAATCGAACTCTTTCTGCCACGCTGGTTGAAACTTTCTTATGCGCTTCGTTTCATACTTTTTCTTGTTATCTTCGCTTTTTTTCTTTTTGGAATGAACAACATTGCTAGTACCATCATCTGCATCATGTGTTTCCGGTGCTGACCTCTTTAAAAAGCTAGTAAGTGTCGACTGAGACAAAGACATGACGCTTGAAGAAAAGCGCTGAAACGTGACTGACAAGCATGTGCGATATCGTGAGCCTGCTATTATGTTGTACATGGAATTTAATGGTAGCACCTCACACAACGAAATCAAACACAACGTTGTACATGGAATTTAATGGTGGCACCTCACACAACGAAATCAAACACACAACGTAAACAAAATAATATTTTATTTTACTTTCTGTAAGAGCTACTTATTTTTTAGAGCACTTAGGTTATTAATTACGGAAAGAATATTTTATTATATATCCAAAGAAAACAGGTAAGTATAGTTTCTTGACTTTTTTTAAGTTGGACCTCTACAACTCAGTCGTCCATTCGGACAACTGGGATCACGTTTTTCCTTGTCCGAACGGAAAAGTTACCTGTCCCAGACGTTCGGACGGCCCAAGTTTCCTGCCCTGTAGTGGTAACTTCATCCTCCAACACTTTTCTTTTGGGGTAAAAGTAGGAAAACCCATCTCGAACTTGTTCATAAGTATACATGCTATTGTTAACTACCCGAAAACCTTTATTTAATCCTGCACTACTCTGTTTGGTCAACAGAACATTAAGATATTTTCCTTTGTTAATGTCGTTTGTTTTCTTGTTAACCCCTTCACAACTGAACTTATCGTAGGCCCCAAAGCAATAGTAGGTCTTGCTACTTAGACCAATTATTCCTGTCCCTGACCACTCTTCCTTAAATAAACCTGGTGTTCTTTTGTCATAAGCTTTGTGCTCTGGAGTGTCGGTTTTTGGAAACCAATTGGCCTTGTCTGCTTCAAATTCGTCTCTTAACTCTGATTTTACTAAACTTTCTACCGACTGACCTGCGATGCGATATAGGCAGAGTCGGTGTCCATTTCACAATACTGAAAATCACTACGATCAAGATACTTGTCCATGAAATCAAAATAAAACTGAAGCATTCTAAGTGTAGCGTATTGATAAACAAAAAAAACGTATCTGCATGGGAAGGCTCAACTTTGATTTTTTTCTTGCAAAATTGCACTTCAAACGTATTTTCATCAATCTGTTCAATCTGTCTAAAGAAGGGTTTGTTTATTAAGGGGACGCTTTAGTTTCTTCACAAAACTGGACTTCTCGATGGCATTCTTGATCCATAACTCGAGTTCCCCACCTACGAAAAGGCAACATTGGTATGAGTTTTTCGTACCTTAAAACGTATTTCTTCCTCCTTTCCCTCAATAGGAGAACAACTTACCAATTTCACAGTGTCTGCGATGATGTCTTTGTTTGGATCTACATCTCCAGCCCGTCTAGCATCCGATACAGCTTCCGCAAAGGGTTAGAAACAGGGAACGGGTGTATACTCCACTACTTGATAAATATGAGTCACTTCCAGACCATGCTCTAAGTCTTCTCACCAAAAGAGCTACCAACAAGACTTCTTCAAGGTTGTGATATAATGTTCTCTTTCTCGGCAAAGGTTTGCATGTGCTGACCAATATCTTCTCTTGAAATTTCTATGTTTTTGAAAATGGGGCACATTTCTGCAAACTTGGGTTTTAGTGCATCAGCTACTCGAACATCACACTCGACCACTCCAAAGAGGGACTCGCTTCTAATAGCGCTTAAGATCTAGTCTTGAGATGATGAAGAGGGCAGTTAAACTTGGAGTTAAGAAACTGCTGAACTTGTTAGTTGGTTTCCTTAATTCAACGCCTCCGGCACTCGTAGATTTCCACAAGATGGTACCCCTGATCCTTGATGTACTTTGAGGTTTCTTTGGTTTCTTGTAGTAACTCCGCCACTGGTCTTTTTCTCTTTTCATTCATTTCTTTTCCTTTAGTAAGATGACAGATATGCGCATGCCACCAGCAGCCATGGAACTGAAAGACTGTTTGCGAAGGACTGTGAAAACCATCCACTGGTATTTTTCTTTCACCAATGTGTTTTTTTGTATTGTTCATTTGGTGGCATATAAAAATTCCTCCTTCATGTGCCTTCCACTCTAACCACCCGGTTTCCATCCTGGAAGAACTTTCTCTCTTGAAGCCAGTTTCCTCTCGGCATCTTGTAAATGATCCGGTGGGCATGTCTTGCATGATGGCACATAGATATAAAGCTTTTTCCTCGTACCTAACAATCTTTTTGACAGGTTTTTGCTTGTTTTCCTTTATCCTCCATTTCTTTTTCTCTGATTTTGGTTTTTCCCGCCTCAAGGTATTGATGAAATATGATACAAGGGCCACCCACCATATTTTCTTAAAGAGATAGTACAGATCTTTGTTTTTTTCGTCAAAGAGAGAGAAGATGCCAGATTCCAGGATGGTAAAGGGGTACGTCAAAGTAACACTGGGAATAGAAATACCTTGACTTAACATGTCAATCTTTTTATCTTTCTAGAAGGCGCACATTTTTTCTAGGGCCTCACAAAAAAATTGGACGTCTAAATTATTATACCAGATGAGAAATTCTCGAAAGGTCTGCTTATTATTGTTCGACCAGACTTGTTGGCAGTACTGGTGGCCTTTGTCAGAAATGTTCTTGTTTTTTAACGTAGAAAAGAAGGCTTCGTGAGGTGGAAGGGAAGGGTGTTCTAATTTCTCAAGAGAATCCAGCCATTCATAAGGAAAGAACCCCTTGGTTTGAGGACGCTCGTAGGCCTTCAGAAATTTGTCGTAGCTGAAACCGGGAGCAAGAAAGTTGGTGACGTCAAGGAAGTGAAGATGTGGGGTCTTTAGGCACATGAAATTGTGGTTACGCTTGATAGTAAACTGAACGCCTTCATTCTGGACCAGGGCAGGAAACAGAAATTCTTTGATGGTATTCAAGTCATATTTACCAGAATTGAAGCCCAGGACAGGAAGTTGTTGTAGATATTCTTGGAAACGACCTTGTAGTCTCTGTAAAGGGTGTCCTTTTTTACCTTAAGTTCTGGGCTGTTGTCCTCTGGTCTGTCATACGCACACTCATGATCATTCTCACTCTGATCCTTGTGTTCGCGATCTAAGGCCCTGTAAAATGAGGCATCCTGTTCCTCTACATCATCGTCAATAAAAACACGATCTTCTTCGGTTTCAGACTCGATGTCTTCTTCCTCTTCATTATCTGTGTCCGTGAGATCTTCTCCTTCATCATCACTATCTTCCTGTGTGAGGTTTTCTATTTTGTTAGTTTTGGAAGGGTCACCAGCTTCTGATTTTAGCTGTAGGTCTTGCAGCTTTTGGTCGATGGCTTCAAAAAGAAAGTTAAACTCTTTTCTTAACAGGTCATAACTCTTTTCACTTATTTTTACGAGGTGTTCTAACATCTCTTTGACAAGTTACTTAGAGTCCCCATCTCACACAAGGCACTTGGGTTGGTCGTAGTCTGGAACATTGGAACAGACACTCGCGCTAAGGGGTATATGTTTAGCGTCCCAAGTCAGTTTCTCTGTATCGTTAAGGTCTGTCTCAGGTGTAAACATACACTCAAAGTCAAAGGTAGCTCTGTAAGGGAAGAACTTGGGATGCTCAGGAACAGTCAACCCTTCGTCTTCAGGCAACTGAAAGATGGTTGGTGGAGTCTTGTAAGCACCTCCTGGAAACTGGTAACTAACTTTCGCTTCAGAGGTTCGCTGGTGACGATTTAACATACCAACATGTTTCCACAGTGTTCCACATCACGAGCAGCTAGAAGACTTGGCATACTTCTTTAAATCTTTAATATAGGAAAAGTAATTCTGGTACAGGTTGAGGTAAAGAGTACTTGGGTAGTGGGAAAGGGAGCGGTGAACCAATTATTGTGCAGCAATGTCTGGTACTGTATTTTCTTCGGTATTGTCTTCATCTCCCTCCTCTCCATCGGGCTTGGTGGGTTCAAGGGAATAGACAGAAATGTTCACTTCGTAGAGGAGTTCCAGATCAGGAGGTTCTTTCAGCTTCACACCAAAAAACTTTTATTTCTCAGGGAAAAATTCTCTATATCGCTCATAGTAATGCTGTGCATCCCTCTCTACATTCTTTGGGTGACAACCGTTGTGGAGTGCCGAAGCGTGAAAGAAGCACATGTTGTCGCTGTAGATTTTACTGGTCTGGCGGTTGCTATCCAAGGCATCAATACCGCAATTTTCCACAATGTAGTGAGGCAGACTTTGACCTGTCCCTGTCGGATGGCCTCGTAGCTTGGCGACGAAGAAAGTGATATTGGTCACCTGTTCTACGACCCATTGAGAGTTCGGGCACCCCAACGCTGGCGTACCAATTCCAAGACGTCAAGGTTTAGGAATGCTTCATGGACTTGCTGAAGGTCAGCTGCGGTGGTAATTTGAAAGGGCGCTTCAAAGACTTGCTCGTTATTTCTGGAGGCATAATAGTATTGAAGTGCTCCAGTCTCATTGTTGTGTAGAATGAAACCAAAAGACACATTCAGCTTAAACACCATGGACTGGTTAGTAAAAATGTTACCCAGATGAGTGATACGTTCTTTAGGTTGGAGAGTGGACAGGCGGTAATTGTACCAATCCTAAAGGCGATTTTTGCAGCTAAAACAAATACGCATTTGATGCCAGTGGTTGCAGTATTCAGCAACGAGACTTTGTTGTGCTTCAGGGAGGTCGGTGAGAGCCCTTTGATAGGGGTTGACTTTGAAAGGTATACATCTATCTAAATAGAATATCTCCAATGTGCTCAAAATAAAAGTTACGTTTTCTTCCATATATTGTAAACTTGCCACTACCAAAAATTACGGAAAATTCAGCTTGCATTATCCCCGCGTTTACAAAACAAAATGGTGACACTCACACGGAATATATGAAAAATTAAAGATAATTGTAAATAACAATTTTCTGAAGTTACCCTGGACATTTGCCAAAGTCGCATTTTTTAACTCGAGAAACATGGACTGCTAAATTGCAATTAAATTATTATTATTATTATTATTATTTTAAAAAAGAAAACCCTGATGTAACCCTTGGTGTATGCCTCCAGGCGTCAAGATTCAGCTTTCCATGTCAAAAATCGTATATTCCACAGGGAAAATTTCATGGAAATTCAAAGCGGATAAACTTTTTTTTTTTTGACAAAAAGAAAAAAAGAAAATTTAAAAACAAAGTCGCTGTTTCCACTACAAAATACCAGAAATCTGATTTCTTCAGTCTGCAATATATCTACAATGACTTGTCTAAATCTACTGAAATACTATCAGTTTGTAGCTCCTGTTTTTATAGGTCATTTCCGATTCAAAAGTACATTTGCAATCAGCGGCTTTTCTTTACCAGTAAATACGTTGTGTTTTAAACCTCCATTTGTCACCCTGAAATTATTTTGTGACCCCGAACCTTACCACGGTACATACTAGTAAAGAGGAACAATGTCGATGTAAGCCACAGGATACATCCTCTTTGAAATGTCCCCGATATCGGACCTTACGGTTTTAAGGACAAAAGAAGTGGTTAACAATGTGTGACCTCTATTATATTCAGTAAGGTATTACTGTAAACAAAGGCCAATGAAGCACTTTTTCAAGATATCCTACTTTCTATTTTTTCCTTTGCGAAGGAAATTTACATAGCACTTTTCATTTACACAAAACGTTATTTTTATGTTACTGCAAAAGAGTCTTAATACCTGAGTCGTCTTGGCGCAGACGTTTGGCAGCCGTAGAAGGTCTACTGTGTGCTGATTTTCCATGTGCGCAAAATGGAGCCAGATTGTGAAAGACTTCACCACAAGTATTACATACGAACTCCTGCTGAGCTGCTCGGCATTCATGAACTTGTTTCACATGTCGTTTTAAGGCATCTATTCGATTAAACTTTCGCCCACAGAGGGAACATTCGTGTCGCTTTCCAAGAACTGCATAGCGTGGCATTTTAGAAGAAGTAGAGTCTACTTCATCCTGTAAAATTATAAGTTGTATTAACGACGGATTTACAAACCTGTTTAAAAGATATAGTGCGACAAGTATTATTTTCGCGCTCTGGCTCTAAATTACATCAACAAAGTCTTTCAACAGCATGGTTTCATAATTCCTTTATTTATACACCATAACTTGTTTTTGTAAAACTATTTTTTAAGTCCATCAAGTTTAAAATCTGACTTCATTTACATTTACCTTTTGAAATGACTCTTGGGTTCAAACCTTTCACAATATTATCTAAATCAAATTTATCTTAAGATAACTTTTGTACAAGCTGTTTCTTCTCAAAACAATTTCAAATATTCAAAAACCATTAACTACTGCTAAGTTTATGTATTCCACATTTTTTTTTTTTAATTTCTTAATTGTTATGTTTTTATGTGTTTGTATTTTTAGACCATGTTATTTCACGAGGGAGATTTAACGAGCTACAGCTACTGAGCTTTTTGTGGTTATGAATAAAGAGGGTCGAGCAAAACCAAAATCTGGAAGGTACCTAAAGTAATGTAAAACCTACCTCTGCCAGTCGTTTCCTGTCAGCTCCACTATGTATTTCATTTAAGTGAGGCCGTGCAGTACCCTAAAAAAAGTAACACTTGGTTAAGTTGGTAACAATACTCGACTAGAGAGAGAGAACGTTCATTCAAAGTACAGAGAAAAAGAGAGCACATACCTGGGGTAGTTTTTCAAACTCATCATCCCAATCATCCCATGGTTCAAAAATTTCCGGGGGAACGTCAAAATGGAAAGTGACTAACTGATCGAAATTCATGACTTCTTCTGACAATTCGTGAATGACCGCTTGGAAAAGGAGTTCCATTTTATGTGTTTCAAAACAATAGAAAAAACTGGCAGGTAAAAATAAACCCTGACATATCGTACCTGAATAAATATGACATCATCATGACCAAGTAGGGACATGGTATCACTTTTCTATTTATAGATTATGATCTCAACATTTTTTGATGACTCTAGGAAATTCTGATGTCACTTGCTCCTTGCCAGCTAAAAATAAACTATGACATCGTCCCATCTCAATGAGATGAATGACGTCATCTGCATTAATTTATACCACTCAAAAAGTTAATTAAATCCACCAAAAAAACTTTAATTTGGTGCCTTATCCACTACTACTCTTGCTTGAACCATTCAATCTGAGCTATCTTGCACAAGGCGAATAAGGCTTCTTCGAGATCATCAGCAGTCAAATTATTGGTCTGCCACTCTGGAGGTGGACTCACTCTCTTTACCTTGCATGACAGGTTGAACTTGTACCTGATCCACTACGTGTAGAGCCCAGTAAGCCTTTTCCAAGTGGAGTACTTTTCCCATTCTACTACAATCAGGGCCGATCAACGTTGTTAGGACAGAGGCCCTGACTTTTAATTCGCTCTCATTCACTTGGAGGTCTTCTTTGGAACTCGACCATTCCTCCTCAGGTAGCATAAAAAATTGGGGACTGCTGATCCACCGCTTTCTGTAGTTAATTCGTGAATCTCCTTCCCTCTCGTACAATGGTAACAGCCGGTTTCGCTACTTGTCTAGTTCGCTACGTTCGAGTTCGCTACATGTTCACTACTAACATGCTGAGTTTGCTACTTACTTTATTCTGTCCTACTTCCACGAACTGTAGTTAATTCGTGAATCTCCTTCCCTCTCGTACAATGGTAACAGCCGGTTTCGCTATTTGTCTAGTTCGCTACGTTCGAGTTCGCTACATGTTCACTACTAACATGCTGAGTTTGCTACTTACTTTATTCTGTCCTACTTCCACGATCTTGTAGAATGAACATCTTGTTTTAAATAAGTCTGCCTTGTTCAACCTGAAATGGGCGCCATGTTTTAGCTGAGTTCGGTTCGATCATAGCGGTTGCAATCCAAGTCGTTTTGATCCAAACTAGAGTCTAGAGTCTGGCTTGATGTGAAAGCGTTGTCAATTAATCTCGTTTCGACCCATAAACAAACTGAACAAACTCGATTCGATCGTAACACAGTAAAAACTATGCGGCGCCGTTATGAAAGTATTCCAAAGCGCTATAAAATGTATCTCAAGTTCAGCTAAATATTTTTATACAAAGACAGTTTCGAATTACAATCTTGAATATGCAAATTTTGAAACAACTCAAGTTTCGAATGGCAATCTCGTTTTTATGGTAATTTGCCTTGCTGATATTTCTTCTTTATTTCCAAAAAGATCATCAGTACTGTTATATTGGAAGATATTTATTACTTACAACTAAAAGGAAGTTTCACATATTATTATCCTTTTTACATGCGGGGACGTGTGGGGCGTCCGAATGACTCCCGCTCCCTAAACAACATACAGTGTTACATTAATTACATGAAATAACTAAAAGAGCTCTTGTTAATTTCACAAAGTAACTGCTTGATTCGAATAAAGCACTATCTAGTGGATAAGTGTTGGGGAAACCAATTGCTTTATCCACTCACTGGATAGCGAACATTATTAAAGCTACTTGGACTGTTTCGCAATTCTGATATTTTTACTTATCATCCTTTTTACATGCGGGGACGTGTGGGTAGTCCGAATGACTCCTGCCCCTAAACAATTAAAATTACATAAACTATAAGTTAATTTTGCAACGCTAAGTGCGCAATTTGAACGAAGCATTATCTATACTTGTAAATTTTGCAAAGCTAAGTGTGCAATTAAATATCTAAATAACGTACTGTATACGACTTTAACACTGAATCCTACGAAGGTTCTTCTCTGACATGAGATAATGACAATCCTTAAAAATCCTAATAAGCTTAACCTAAAAATCTAGCCTATATGTGATTAATAATAGCTAACAGTTTCTCTTTATCTAGTTCATTCAAAATCACGAAGCAATGATGTGTGGTGCTTTCTTGAGAAGATGGTTTGCTGAAATGTCTCCTTTCTCAAACTTCTCCCACGCATCGAACAAACGGGCTTGTGTGTTAAGGTACTGTCGATGCTGGATCCTCTTCAGCTTTCTCTCCGATACAAGGCGGATCTGAAGGGACGCCAGTTTCGCTTCCTTGAAGATTAACTCGATGAGCAGGTAGGACGGGATCTGTGATTTTCCTTGTGTTCGACAATTTAGGCCATGGTGCCACCCTTCTGTGTCATTGTTCATTCTAACGGACTGTTGGAAGATGCTCCAGGAGGACGGGTGCCACATGGTGCTGCTGATCCACGTGTTATTAATGTACTGCGTGAACGCTTGTAAGGGTTCTGTCACTGCTTTTGTTTCTAGTCGGTGGAAGGCGGCTGGAATTTCTTCGGCGGGAAGAAAAGGCAGGGCTAAAAGTTTTCCGATAAGGCAATGCGTCCCTCGGTGGTTTAAGTACGTTTGTTGGAGACCAAGTTCCTGGACCTACGATAGAAAAGAGCAAACCAGAGTTTAGTTAGAGTTTAGCATTAAGCACTTGCATGCCAAGTTTTTTTTTTTATTTCATTTTTATATTGAAATCATATTTTCACGCGTTGAATGGAATTAAGGCTACTGAAAACTGGAACATATTGAAAAAATCTCACGTTAACAAAATGCCCTGTTCAGGTTGTTTTTGTTCTAAATGACACAGATTTATACTTAATTTCCTCCACAGAGCCTGAGTCCAGTGAAATGCGCATCCCATGATGCGTACCTCGGGGAACAACTTCTGGAAGGTCGACCACATGGCCCTTTGGAATCCTTCACAATTTCAAACTCGAGACGGAAGCTGTCTGGCACTTCATTGGCCAGGGGCTCCATGATGGACGATTTGTCTTGAATGGCATCATCACCAGGTAACTCCTATTTTAGACAAAAATGCTACATTCATTGTGCCAGGAATGTGACCCCACTCCCTGACGTCTGATTTGGAGGCGATTTCAGCAACTCTGTGATACGTACATGTTGAATCTCGTCTGGGTGTTGCTAAGGTAGTGCAACACAATCTTGGAGTCACTCCAGAAATGCGTTTCGTCAACTTCAAAGTCGATTTCTTCTAATATCTTGGTCTTCAGCCTAGCTGCCACAACCGCAGCTTGAAGTTCCAAACGTGGTATGGTCAGTGTCTTGATTGGTGCCAATCTTGTTTTGCTTATAACAAAGCTCACGTTAACAGGTCCACACGTCACTGTACGGAAGTAGGCAACTGCTCCGTAAGCGATTTCAGAGGCATCACAAAACAAATGTAACTGCACGCTTTGGCACTCGTGATGATGGAAGCCGTACCATCGGGGAACTGCAATGGACTGCGAAG